GCAAACGTGACACAACCTTCTCGGTTACCAGGTTGCCCACTCTGGCCAGAGGTGGAACTGGCTCAGAACAGGGCAGGGGAGTGCTCGCTCCCCAGGGCAGGGGCCTCTAGGAGTGCCCACCAGGAGCCAGGGGTATACGTGGAGGGCCTCCTGACACCAGCCTGGCCCCGCTTTGCCCAGGGCTGGGGACGCTGCGTGAGGCCTGCCCCTCTGATCCCACTTGTGTGGAAAGAACCACAACACAGAACAAGGGCGGGGGTGCCTCACGCTGCTCTTGGGCTGGGAGGGAGGGGCACAAGAGCCTGAAGGAGGCCTCTGGACATTCAGACATTTGACCCAGAGGACAGAGCAACCAGGGCCGCTTCCTACTGTGGTAACTCAGGAGAGTTAACCTGAGCAATTGTGGAATCTGAAAACCTCACTTCACGTTCTGCTCCCAGGCTGGGTCCCTTGCGAGGTGGTGCGCCCGCCTGCAGGAACAGCAGGTGTGGGGCAGGCTGGGGAGCTCGGGTGCTGCAGGGACTGGTGGGCCTGGGCCTGCCTCAGTCACCGCCTGCAGTGCGAGGCTCACTGGAGTGTTAGGCTGTGTCTAGGGTGGGCTCAGCTCAGCCCCCATCCCCGCATCAGCCACAGCCCAGAGCCCAGGCCACACTCGGGAAGTGAGTGGAGCGGCAGGTTGCTCAACACGACCGGGGGGTGGCCTGCGCCCGGTTCCCCTGCACACCCGCCAGGACCCTAGCCAGTACCTTCTTACTGCAGCCTCGGCAGGGCGCCTTGTAGGATGCGAGCTGCTTCTCCACGTGGGCAGCCTTGTCCACCTTCTTGGGGTCGAAGGGCAGGCGGCACAGTGGGCACAGCGGGGACGGCACCTGCAGGCAGGGCTGGAGGCACTCCCCACAGAACCTGCAGGGGGGACACGGGCCTGAGGGCTGCGCGCCCCTACGTCAGCGGGTGCTTCTGTGCGGGGCCTGCAGGCGGGGTGGGCACCGTCTGGCTGAAAAATGGCCCTGTCCCTGCCCCATCGTGGGCTCCTGAGCTGCAGCCGTGACCCCCTGTCCTGTGCTGGCCCCCAGACTTGGTCCCAGCAAGAGCACTGGTTGTGGGAGGGCCAGGGCCCACCCTGCCCATCTCACTGCAACGGGTGATGACAATACCTTGGGGGCTCCAGGACAGCGTGGGAGATCCTGGAGGCCCTCCACCCACTAAGTCTGGGGGTAAAATCACTAACCCCCAGTGCTGAGAGGAAACCACAGGGTCCTAGGGCCCAGCACTCATTGGACGGAGCAAGGCCAAGGCTGGCCAGGGAGCGTCACCAGTCTTGGGACATGCCCTGTCCCCAGGCAAGCAGGCCTCAGGCCCAACCTGAGCAGAGGCAGGGTGGCAGAGGGGCTGTGCCCAGGCGCCCAGGCTCCTCTTGGCACTGAGCTCTCAGCCATGTCTCTGGAGATGCCGTGTTCTGCACCTAAGGGTGCTTGGCCACAGCAGCTCGCGTTCATAACCAGCCCTATGCTGCGGAAGAGCACACGCCGCAGGTCGAACACTCTCAGCTGGGGGACAAGAGGGACCGAGAACCTGATCTCAGGACCACCTCAGTCTGTCGAGGTGTCTGCTCAGCAGACTGGAGCCTCGTCCACAGCCCAGAGGCTTAGCCCCGTGAGAAAGGTGGCAGCTTGGCGGCCTGCACGAACCCTGCCGGGCATCGGGGTGTGCCCTGTCCCGCGGGGGTCAGGCAGGTGGGGCTGCGGGCATTTCTGGGGGCACAGACGGCCTAACTGAGCACAGGCCCCCCCGTCCTTCCGCCTCAGACTTTCACCTCTTCTCAGGAAGAGGCACCCCAGGCGATCCAGAGGCCCTTCTCCTGCATGCTGGCTTCCATGCAGCCACCTGTGTGTGCTTTCAGTGAGGGGATGCTCTGAGCCACAAGGAGCTGGAGGAAGCTCACAGAGCGCCAGGCTGAGGGTGTGCTCAGGACAAACCAGCCTCGGGTCGGGAGAGGGGCGCCTGGTGGGGAGGGGAGGCAGGGAAGCTGCAGTTCCAGAAGCAGGACGAGCCCCGCCTGCCACACTGCCATTTTGTGTCTTACTCCCTGAGGAGCCGGGGGCAAAACGAGGTGCAGCGTGGCCCCTGCCCTCACAGGCACATGGAGACCTGGTTGGGGTGTGGGGGCAGCCAGTCAGCTGGCCAAAGCCTCTTCTGCCTGGGCCCATTGCTCCAGTGCTGCCCCCACTGGTCACCACCTGCACAACACAGGGGAGCTGCCTGGGACCCAAGCCTCTCAGGCCACTGAGCTGGTGGACAGAGGCCTTGCAAACTGAGCAGAGAAGCCCGCTCCAGGCTAGTATATGCTTAGCAGTCCCAGGTCTCTGCAGGCACTGGCCCACAGGTGCTGGGGGCTGTGGCCGCAGAAGGGGCCTCAGTTAGAGGGGCTGAGAGGCTGGCCTGGCCCAGCAGCCTAAGCTCCAGCCTCAGCTTTGCTGCGCACCTGGGAACTGCCCTCGGTCACCGTGATCTCCTTTTCCTTGCACAGGAAGAGTAACAGCACCTGTCTCCCAGGCCTCTGCAAGCAGGGAGGACTCAGAAAATGTCTGTTACCACCATTCCCTATGTATCTCCTTATGCATGAGTGTATCAGTTTCTCTACAACTTCTGTTCATTAACAGACTGCACGTGGGGACACTTAAGTGGGGGACAATGTGATGGCACTGACCAGAGAGGGCGACAGAAGAGGCACAGTGGCTGGAGGCAGCCCAGGCAGAACCCTGGCCCAAATACACTGGCACTAGGGTAGGCTTTGTCAGAGCATTAGAAACAGCCAGGTGGCTTCTGGTTCCAGATGCGGCTTACTGCCCAGGGCATCCCCTGAGTGTGACAGATTACTGGCTTCCTCTGGGGACTTCCTGGGAGTGCTTCCACAGTCTCCACCGAGGACCCCCCTTGCCTCTGGGCTCCTGTTGGAAAGCTCTCCCTGTGACCTGTCCCCTTTTGTCTGGTGCTGGAGCAGTAATCCAGGCCCAGGCAAGGCAGGGCTGCTGTCACGTCCAGAAAACCTATTTTGTGGAAGGAAACTGCTTAGTCAGGTAGCTGTGGGGTGAGGCAGATAACCAGACCACCAGCAGACTTTTTAAAAGGAAAGGTGTGTCTTTAAATCTTTCGTATTCGTTTGCACACATGCCTTCAAAACATCGGACAAGAAACTTATGGAAAGTAAGCAGCAGAGATAAACAGCCAGTAGGTTTACATCAGCAGGTAGAGTCAGGAAGAAAATATTTCTAAGGCAGAAGCTGAAGAAGAGGCTGCTGCAGGACCAGCCTCGGGAACAGGAGAAGAGGGGTCTGATTCTGCCAAGAAAAGTGTGGAGAGAGGGTATTATAGAAGAATATGCTTTCACAGCAGTTTGTGTAGTTCTGTATTCTAAAAAGAGTATTTGGGAAAAAAGCCTTGTGTCTAGGACTGGGTGAGTGTTGATAGAAATCCTAAGCCCAGGAAAGTCTTTCTAAAATTGGGCCCCAAGACAAGCTCTGCAGCTCTCTCAATGATTGGCTGGAAGAAGCTGAACACACTGTGACAACACCCACTGGTGTGTGTTGACGAGAGAGGTGCTGTTCAAAAGCTGCCCCTGCCAAAATGTCACAAACAGCATGGAAAAGTGAGGCACAGCGCCTTCAGAACTAGTCAGCAGCACTCTCCCAGGGTGCGCAGGTGGGTGTCTGTGCTGCCTGCACTGTGTGTGTGTAAAGGCTTCCCGACTCCTGACACAGTCCTGCAGCCTGAGAATACACAGCATACACACCTAGCAGTTCCAGTTTCCTCTTTGCATCAAGAACCTCCTAGGCCAGCTGCCTTTGTTTGCAAAATGTTCTGGGGCCTCCTGCTATCCTGGGTGCACCTTGGCCCCACCTCCTCAGCAGCTCTGCGGGCAGCCAAGCCCTCCTGCCCCCTCTCCCACCCTTTTAATTTCACTTAAGAGCTGTGTTATTCAGCCTTCTGGAGAATTGGAGACCACACACTCTGATCTCAGCCCGCCCCCTGCCCCCCAACCAGGTTGGCAGCTCCCAGAAGACATGAGTGCAGCTCTCTGCTGGGAGAAGAGCCACATCCTCCGGTTTGTGTTCCTGAAACAACTGGCCCTGGCGCAGCTTGGTGTGTGGCATCTGGTCCACCGAGGGCCAGCCTGCCTGGCTGCTCAGTGACCCATGGTGACCAAAGTCCTCCATCAAAACAAAACAGCACCAGACTCCAAGCAAGCCTTTGTCCAAACTTTAGGGAACTCCTCTCCTCTGCAGTCACGACAAGCTGACAGCGGATCCAAAAAATAGTTGACAGCAAAAGCCACAAAGCATTTATTTACAATTGCTCACCCCAGTCTCCACGAGACCAGATGGAAGGCGACCGGCACAGATGTCGCGCCCGCTGCCCTTTGAGTTCCCAGGGAGGCCCGCCGAGGCCGTCAGCGGCTCCTGGCACCCGAGACCTGGCAACTCCGCAGGTCGGCCCTGTCTGCCGACGGGGTGATTGGGGTCGAGTGCCCGGGGCGGGCGGGCAGGACGCTGGGCTGAGGCGGATGGACGTGCCCAGAGGGCAGCAACGGCGCTGCGCATGAAGCCCCTCGCCCCCCAAGTCCTCGCGCGCTGGGACTGCGCTGGGGTGGCCTCAGACCTCCCCGCGGCGGCGCCCGACCCCGCGGCCTCCCGGAGGCCAGCGCACTCACGTGTGGCCGCAGCTGCCGATGGCCACGGGCCGGTGGTAGACTTCCAGGCAGATGGGGCAGCTGTACTGCGCCTCCAGGGCACTGTCGCCGCCCGCGGGCCCGCCCGGCGGCTGTCGCTGCTGAGCCGAGCCCACCAGGCTGCGGAACATCGCCATCCCCGGGCTCGGCCGGCCGCCGCCGCCCCTGTCCCGGCTCGGCCAGCGCGTAACGGCCGCGCCGGCGCCGAGTTGACGTCAGAAGGAGCGCCCGCCCCCGGTTCGAGCGTCACGGCTGCGTCGGCGTCGTGTTGACGTCATAGGGAGCGGCCGCCCCTCGCGCCGGCGCCTAGGTGACGTAGTCAGGATGCGTCCTGCTTCTGCCGTCGAAGCTGTCTGCTAAGCGGCACGGCGAAGCCATGTGCGAGATGTCTGAGGAGTACCGGGAGTCCGCCCCCAAGGGGCCGCCGCAGCCACGGCTTGGGTAAAAGTTGGGCAGCAGTACCCGCCGCTTTCTTTCCGACCCTCCGGCAGGCGGCGAGCTCTGCCCCGAGGGCCAGCCCGTGGGCTCTTTGCGCTCAGTCTCGGGGGCCACGCTCCTGGAAGCCCGGAGACTGCCCAGGGCGGGTTCTGGGAGTCCAGCAATCTCTGGTGTGGGGTGGACCTCGCTCCTCAGCACCCGGGGAGTGCCTGGCAATCCCGTGGTGAACACTTGGCGCGCTCGCTCCTCTAATTTTTGTGGCCAGTGGAATGGTTCCGCCTCTGACCAAACTGTCCTTACTCGGCGAGGAAAGTCGGACTCCCGGCCGCTTCTGCACTCTGGTTCCAGTTTTTCCCTCCAGGACCTCCCAGAGCGAGCTGTCTCCCTTCTCGTGCCAGCCCTAAGAGAGCCCACTGAGCTGGCTTTAACGAACTGAAATCCTCTTAGGGCCCTGGTATTTCCTCAGAAGGGTAGTCTGGAGAAGATACAAGGTCCGGTCTGTGAGGTGCAGGCTCCCCACCCCCCGACCCCCACCCCACCATGGCCTCTCTGATACAACAGCTTGGGATGAGAAACCAGCTGCCGCCTCTCTGAAGCCCCTGAGTGCGTGTAATCAGTGTCCTGATCTCTCTTCTCCCAATGCCTCAGAACCCAGGATCAAAAGTGTGTGAAGTGCAAGGAAGGCCTGCCTGTGGTGGTGATCCGGGCTGGAGACGCCTTCTGCAGGTGAGGCCTGGAGGTGGGAGGTGACTCTGCACACACAGTCTTAGTAACCAGGACCGCCTCCATTTCTGCGGCTTTATTCCTTGCTTTTGAAAGCATTTTACTCCTAATGTCCACGGGTGGGTGAGTGTGTGTGTATGGCTTTGGATGTCGGTTCTTGTGTGAGTGCCGTTCTCCCATCGTCCAGGCGTGCATCAGGTGGCAGGAAGGTCCGGGTGTCGCTTACAGAGAGAATTGGGAGCGAAGGTGAAGAGGAGTGTGGTGCAGGCGAGAAGAGCTCTTCAGGGGCAGCTTGGAGCACCCTGGGCGCTCTGGCAGGCGCTCTGTGTGTTGCCTGTATTGTGAGAGAGAGAGAGGGATGGAAGAGGGGGTTCTGACCCATCTGTGGGGGGACCTTTGGAGGTTTTTTGGTTTCTTTTTTTGTTTTATTTATTTGGCTCCATCAGGTCTTCGTTGAGGCATGTGGGATCTAGTTTCTTGACCAGGGATGAACCCTGCGTTGGGAGCACAGACTCTTAGCCACTGGACCACCAGGGGCAATCCGTGGGGGGACCTCTGGACAGGAGCGGGGACTGGTCCCAGAGAGGCCTAGCATGTTCTGTCTGATCTGAAGCTGTCTGTGGCCCTGTCACATTGCCCGTGAATCATAACTTTTCAGTGTCTGGTCATGTTCACGGTGTCCATAGCTCCACAGGGGTCAGGCTTGTCACCTGCTTTATGAAATTCTGGTGACGTGGCATGCATAGCAAACTAACAAGTTGAGTTATTTGACCAGCTCACATTTTTAAATGGGTCTCCCAGAGTATCGGACTCTACTTACTAAGTTTCTGAAAAAGAAGTCAAAGGGATGAAATAAGTTGTTTTCTCCAAACTTTCTCAGTTGCCCATTTTTGGGGGCCAAGTAGATTTGCTGTGTGCTGTCATGAAATATGATTTAGATACGAAAGTCACTGCTTTAACCACATAAGAGCATCTGGAAATGATGGTCTCTCTGGTCTGCTTGGAGAGCTCCCCGATGAGGAGGAGAGAGGCCACAGCGACTCCTCCTGGGCCCAGGGCTTCCCTCCCCTGCTTGCTTATTTTGGGAAGAGGTGACAGGCTGATCTTCCAGGTTGCAGATTTTGGCAGTCTGGGTTTTGAGCAAGTTCCTCATTGGTGGAGAAGGTCAGCATGTAGGAAGCTCTTGCCTCGCCTGACCAGACGGAGAGTAGGGGCCTCATGGTGCTGTGGGGGGCACGGCTATGGCAGCTGCAGGGTCCTCTCTGCCACCTTGAGCATCCGTGTTTGCCCAAGGAACCTCCCAGGGTCCTGACCTTCCAGGTTACCCGATGGCACATCCCCAGGAGTCCCTGGAGCCTCGGTGTTCTGCTGTTGAGTTACTGTCCACAAAGCCTCCATGGGGTGTTTGGTCGGCTGTTCATAAGCAGGGCCTGTTCTGTGTTGGGGGCTGTTGTGACACTAGATCGTCCGAGCAGGAAGAAGGAAATGCTGTGGGGGCACAGCCCCAGGCTTGGCCGCTGTCGGGGGCAGCGCTGCTCCCCTCCGCTCAGGTCCTTCTACTCCCCTCTGCTTGGGCCCCTCTGCTCCACCTGGCTGCCTGCTGGGTTTCTGGGGAGGGAGCTGCTTTCTCTCTGCTTGTCTCTCTTCTCTCTTTCTCCTCTTTCCTCCCTTCTCTCCCCTTCTTCCTTTCTCTTTCTCTTCCTTTTTTCTTTCTTTTGTTCCACTTTTTTTTTCCCTTTCTATCCTCACCCATCTTTGGGTGCAGCTTTTAATGTCAAGACACTGCTTTGAAGGTGGAAGTGGCTGAAAGAAGATGTAACCTGGTGGACTCTCAGACTGTCAGCCTGCAAAGTGTTGCTGGGTGGTCGGGGCTGTGTTGCCACAGCTGCTGGTGTTTGTGTTGCAGGGACTGTTTCAAGGCGTTGTACATCCACAAGTTCAGAGCCATGCTAGGGAAGAACCGGCTGATCTTCCCAGGAGAGAAGGTAGGGTGTGGCACCCCCCTTGCAGGCGGCCTGTCCCAGCCTCATCGTGCCAGCTTCTCCCACGGGTGCACACCCGGACTTCTGGGGGACTCACATCTGGAGACATCTGTGGGCAGAGATGAGGGGCCATGTTGGAGGTGCGGTGCCCTCAGTGATGTTCCTTCTTCCACAGGTGCTCTTGGCGTGGTCTGGGGGGGCTTCATCCAGCTCCATGGTCTGGCAGGTCCTTGAGGTATGTCTCTACACCATCCTCCTGCCACGCCTAGCCAGGATCCAGTGGTGGGGGCTGGCACCAAGGGACTCTTGCTTGGGGCTGGAGAGAAAGGTCCCCTCCCCAGCCAGGTTGCTCGGGGCTCTTAGATGTGGGCACATGGACGCCGGCCCCAGAGTGGTGTGAGGAGTGCCCAGCCATGTCTGGGTTTAGCACCCTGTCCCTTTTCTTGACTGCAGACATGTGCTGCTGGACAGCACCAGGCACCAGGGGCGTTCCCCTGGTCCAGGGAGGGTGCCCGGAACAAGACAGTGAAGCATGAGCAGGTGCCCCAGGGACCTTGGATGGGCTCGGTCCTGGCAGGGGTCAGGGTGGCTTCCTTGAGCAGTTTAAGGGGGGTCTCGGAGAGGCAGGGGCAGGGTCTCGGGGGTTGTCAGTGGAGAGACAAGGGGCATGGGGGCTGTGCTCTGGCCCATCCACAGGCCCGCTTTGGGCACTGGAGGCAGTGGGACTCCTCCTGGTAGCCCTGGGGCACTTGGGAGGCTTTGACCCGCGTGGCACATACCCAGAGCCCTGCGCGCCCTCTAAGGGGTGGTGGTGTGGCCTGTACCAGGGCTTCCTGGAGGCAGTACTTCTGTGCTTGGTTTTCTGCCCTTGCCTCCCGGTCCCCACAACCTGGCCGGAGGATGTGAGACCAGCCCCCTGCGCCCGTGGGTTCTCTTCCCCGTGACCAGAGACGCCTTGCTGTCCTGGTCTCTTCTTGCTCTGAGTGGTCTGAGGGGCTTGGCAGGGGCTTCTCGGGGTTTTGCCCGGAGGCACAGACAGGCTTTGAGGGTGGGTTTTACTTGGGAGGGGGACAGAGGTGCCCTAGGTAGTGCCGCTTTAAAGCGTGTCGGGCTGTGCCTCCCCCCTGAGGGCCTGCATGGAGTTCGGTACAGCACAGGGGACACCGCTGCCCTTTCCTGGGGGCCCTCGGTCTGGAAGGGGCAGAGTCTCTGCAGCAAAGGGCCCGGTGGCTTCTGGCCTTGGAGCTGAGGCCCTGTCACATCCCCCCAGGGCCTGAGTCGAGATTCTGCCAAGAGGCTGCGTTTCGTGCCAGGGGTTGTCTACGTTGATGGTACGTCTCCTGGGCCCTGGTGTTCGGGTGGGCCTGCTGACTGCTGGCACTGTGCCCACAGGAAGCCCTCCTGGGGGCGTTTCTCTGGAGACAGTGAGCGCATTCGGAGGATAGCACTGCTGCCATCCTGTCTCAGACCGTCCAGGGTTGGGCAGGAGCGTCTGCTGAGTGTCCACCCCAGGGTCCAGGGCACTGAGTGAGAAGGGCGAGTTCACTGCCTGAGGGGACCTGCCCTTCCGGCCTCCATCCCATGCCCAGAGAATTCAGCAGCCACTCTGAAAATGCCCCCCAAGGAGATAGGTCAGTGTTCAGAGACCGCTGCCCCCAGGGCACAGGGCTGTTGGTCCTGACCACTGTCTGCATCTCTTTAAGCCTGACTCTCTTCTCTGTCTGCGGTTTTCAGAGGGAGCTGCCTGCAGCCAGAGCCCCGAGAACAGAGCTAAAACCCTGGCAGAGGTGAAGCTGGTCCTGCAGACCACTGGCTTCCCATGGCACATTGTGGCCTTGGAAGAGGTGGGCGTGCCATCCCTGTTAGAGGGCCTGGGGGTGAGCACTGGGTGTCCCTGAGGGGCACGGTCTGCTTCCCCCACGTGGGGTGAGCCTCACACCCCTGTCCCTCCCGCAGGTGTTCAGCCTGCCACCCTCCGTGCTGCGCTTCGCTGCCCAGGAGCCAGCGGGGACGGAGGGAGCCTACAAGGCTGCCGTGGACAGTTTCCTGCAGCAGCAGCACGCGCTGGGGGCTGACGGGGTGGAGCGGAAGAGCCAGCACTGCTCCCAGGATCCCCACAGCCACACTGGGCCACCCACGACCGCCCAGACCCAGGCGCTGTCCAGGTTGTTTGACTCGGTGAAGACGCTGACAGCCAAGGAGGAGCTTCTGCAGACTCTGCGGTGAGTCTGCCTCGCTCTGCCCCCCAAGTTCTGGGCCTGCCTGCCTGGGCTCATGAGACCTCCCGCCTCAATCCACAGGACCCACTTGATTCTCCACGTGGCCCGGAACCACGGCTACTCCAAAGTCATGACGGGGGACAGCTGCACCCGCCTGGCCATCAAGCTCATGACCAGCCTGGCACTGGGGAGAGGGGCCTTCCTCGCCTGGGACACGGTGCGCCTACAAGCTGCCCAGGGGTCGCCCAGGAGGCGGGGAGAGCTTGGGACCCCGCCAGTGGGCAGGAGCAGCCGAGTACAGCGAGGAACACTGTCCCCCTCACCACCCCCAGGGCTTCTCAGACGAGCGACACGGTGATGTGGTGGTGGTACGGCCTATGCGTGAGCACACGCTGAAGGAGGTCGCCTTCTACAACCACCTGTTTGCTGTGCCCTCCATTTGCACGCCAGCCCTGGACACCAAGGTGAGCAGCATGCACACCCCTTGCCGTAGTGGAGCCCACGTGGGGCATCCCCGCCCTCCCTGAGTGGGGGTTTGTGGGGTGGGGTGAGGGGCAGGATAGGCTCTGTCAGGGTGCCTGATTGAACAACGGGGGTGCTCTAGAAGTGGGGCGCCTGGCTTGCTCCACAACAGACTCTCAAGTGATGCTGTGGAGAAGCCCAGGGTCCACGCTCATCTGAGGTGGGGCTCCTCCCACAGCTGCCCCTTTGTCTCATTGCTCCTAGGCACCCGAGAAGGCCAGCATCCACCGGCTGATGGAAGCCTTCATCCTCAGACTGCAGGCCCAGTTCCCCTCCACGATCAGCACCGTGTACAGGTGTGTGTGAGTGAGTACTAGGGGTGGGGGGGGGGCGCTGGCGGGATAGAGCCCCCAGCCAGCAGTGTCTTAGAGCCCTGTCCCCACCCCCAGGACAAGCGAGAAGCTGATCAAGGCCCCCAGGGACGGCTGTGCCGCTGGCCCCCGCTGCCTGCTCTGCATGTGCACACTGGACGTCGACACTGCCGGTCCGTCCTCACCTGGTGTGGTGCTGGGGCGGGGCACCCGTGAGTGCTCTTGGGGTTTTGTGGCCCCCAAGGTCCCATCAGCTCCTCTCTGTTTGCAGACAGCGCCACGGCTTTTGGGGCTCAGACCTCACATCTCCCCCAGATGCAGCCCCCTGTCGCACAGGCCGGGGCGGCTGCCGGGCCCTGCTGCTGTGCCGGGATGGGTGGGGCCCCTGGCTGCTGCAGGTGAGTCCCTGTCTCGCCCTGTCGTGCCCCCCCACCCGCTGTGGTCGGCGCCTGGGGGCTGCACAGTGTGGGTGCGCCCGGGGGTCCTCCCTGAGGGCCGGGCCAGGCGCTCAGTCCAGCTGTCTCTGCAGAGAGGACCCCCGGGCCCAGGTGATGGAGCAGCTGTGCTACGGCTGCCGTGTGAACATGAAGGACTTGGTGAGTGGCCACCTCTCTGCCGGGCGAGGGACAGGTGGGCCCTGGCCAGCCTTGTGCCACGAGGCCCCTCGCCCGTGCTGACTCTGTTGCAGCCCTCCTTGGAGCCCTTGCCACCCTACATCCTGTCCGAGGCCCAGCTCCGCAGCCAGAGGTACTGCCTGTTCTCCGGGGGAGGCAGCACAGGGGGGTCCTTCTGGGTGTGGGTTCCTACTGTGCAGTTCCCCCAGGGCCACGGTCGAGCAGGAGGTCCGAGAGTACCTGCTGGGGGACAGCGAAGACGAGACCGGGACTGGTGAGAGCTGAGCTCGCGGACCAGCGCCTGGGACAGGAGACCCCCGGGAGCAGGAAGACAGGCAAGGCTGGGCAGGCGGCATGTGATTGCCCGTTTGTATAAATAAAAACGATTTAATTAGAAAACTACAGTACGCGTGGGGGTGGGGGACAACGGGAAGGGCCAGCAGTCCTGCGCCGGGCGGGCCGCGGCTTCCTGTGACAGCAGCATCAGGCCGGGGCCTCGACTCCACCCGCAGCGGCTCTACTCCTTGTCGCGTGTCCATTTGATCATGGTCTCGGGCGAGCGGTACAGGAAGATGAGCTTGGCGTAGAGCTCCTCCTCCAGCTCCAGCTCCCGCGTCTCCCGCACCAGGAAGATGTCCTGGCAGAGCTTGAGGATGCGGTCCACACACGGCAGCTCCTCGAACATGATGGAGTGCGAGATCTCGCTGAAGAAGCCGCGCACGAACTTACCGATGACCAGCACGATGGACACATACAGCCCCATGATGCTGGGGGCAGGTGGGTGGGCGAGTGAGCTTCGGGCTGCCGCTGGCCTGCGCCCCACCCTGGCCCCGGCCCCGCGCCGCCTCCTGGCCCCGCCATACTCACCCATAGCCGGCCAGGAAGCCCAGGCTGGGTGGGCTGACCTTGTCACTGAAGATGACCATGGGCAGTAGGTTGCAGTTGGCCTGGCAGTCCTGCAGCTCAATGACCCACCACTCGAGGAAGCCAGCTGCCCCTGTGCCCACACGCTCCCTGCGCAGCTGGATACGCACGCCGAGGTAGTCAGCCTCCTCGTCTAGGTGGGAACCAGGAGGTGTCAGGGCCCCCAGCTATCCAGGGCTGTGGCTGCAGCCAGCACCCCCACCCAAACCCCTGCCCCGCTCACTGGGCTGCAGCTGCTTCACAGGGTTGGCTTCAGGCCCGTTGGGGGCACGGATGTACTTGGGGAAGAGGTGGGGGATGACCCTGTGGGGAGAAGTGGCGAGTTAGGCCTGGTCCAGCCCTCCTGTCCAGCCCTCCCTCCACGCCAGGCCCCCCGCACACTCACACTGACTGGTCCGAGGTACCTTCCAGCAGGCTGGCCAGCTGCCGCCGGGCGGTGCTGTTGGGGGCCAGGTCCAGGGTGTGCTTCTCGTTGGTGTACTCCACGCTGCCGCCCTTGGCCAGGTCCCTATGGCAGCGGCACAGTGTGACCCAGTGGGGTGTGTGACCCCTTGGGGCTGCTCCCCACCCAGGATGCACCTCTAGTTCTAGGTGAATCACAGGGTGGGGTTCCCCCCAGGACGCACCTCTGGAAGTTCCAGGTGAAGCGCAGGGTGATGTCGGCTGTGCCGTTATACAGCTCCCGCTTCATCTGCGCCCGGCTTGGCGGGCTGATGCGCCACAGCGCCCCGGAGCTGCCCTCGATGTGCACCGTGACGATATCCTCGGGGCTATACTGGCTGATGAACTGCATGGCCAGCTGGGAGCAGGGCGGCATCTCAGTGGGGAGCAGCCAGGCCCCCCTCCCATCCCAGGCAGACGCATGGGGGGGCCACTCACCGGGTGGGGGTCAAACTGCTTGGACAGCTCCTCGTAGGTGTGGTGCGTGAAGGGCACGATGGACGGCTGCTGGGCACTCATGGTGAACAGGGGCTGGCGGTGGGGACACAGTGACCTGGCGCCCGGAGAGGCCCCCCAGCCCTGCCGCCAGCAGCCACGTGAAGCCGGGCCCCCTCGTGATGCTCACCTCATAGCCTCCCAGCTTGAGAGTCACGGTGACGTCGATGGGCTGGTTGACGACGCCGACCACAGAGCGCACCAGGGACATGAAGAGCAGTGGGAACCAGATGATGGCCACGAGGAACAGGATGATGAGGCCGCCCATGCCGTACTTGACGATCTTCTTCTTCTTCTGCCCCTTGGGCTGCGGGTATTTCTGGGGGTGGGGGGTAAACACAGGTCACCCACCTGGCCCCATGGCGGGCCCTGGCAGCAGGCATTGTGGTCTCAGGCTCCCCTGTGAGCCCACAAAGCCAAGCCTTGACTATACATTGAGACTGAAGCCATAGCGGTGAAGACAGCTGACCAGGGAGTAGGGCCTGAAGCCAGAACCAGACCCTCACCTTGAGGCCTTGGGGAAGGAAAGCCTTTGCCACAGAGGGTGCTGGTCACCCACATGCTTGACAAAGATGAACTCCTAGGAGACCTAAAGCAGTAGATGCCTTCAGAGAAAATCTATCTGATGAGGGTCTAGTATCTGGAATACATAAGGAACCCCCACAATGACAAAAACCACCCAAGTAAGAACCAGGGAGAAACCTGGACAGACTGTCTCTCCAAAGACAATGATACACAGGTGACCAACCACAGGGAAAGATGCTTGATGGGAAACAGAAGTCGCCAGGTGAAACAGGAGCACAGTGAGACACCTCCCTACGCTGCCAGGACAGGTGAGGGCATGGGGCAAGCTGGCTGGTGTCCCTGCCATGCCACAGTGACAGGGCCCAGAAGGGTGCCCCCAGAGACACAGGGTTCCACTCCTAAGTGCACACCCAGGAGATATGAAAGGCTGTGGAGGCGATTTTTTTTTTAAGGACATACACAAGTCTTAACCACAATGGACTACTACGTAGCCATGAGAAACTGTGGTATAGCTGCATGGATAAACTTGGGCCACACTGTGCTGTGAGAAGCCAGTTGTGGAAGGCCATGTGCTGTGGGTCCATGCAGCTGGCATGACAGGAACAGGCACACGCGTGTAGAGGGTGGATGGGGGCCGAGGGCCGGGGACCCACTGCTGGTGGGGCTGGGGTTTCTGGATGATGAATGTGGTCTTAACTGTGCAGATGCTTATGGAGATTTGAATATACTAGAAACCATCCACCCGGTGATGTGTGAATTTTATCAATAAAACAGATGAGAAAGCACAAAAGCCCAGTTGATAGGTCAGTGCTCACACCGTGACCCACGACAGTGAGCCAGGGCCCAGAGGCCAGGCCTTTCCTGCCCAGTGTTGGCTCCAGCCCCTCTGCGGTTGGGCCGCCCCTGAGGCAGCCTCAGTCACCATCCCCTGGGAGGAACCCTTTCTGGCCACCAGGAGGATTTTAGGAGAGTGCTTTCTGGACTCATGCTGCGTGGGCGGTGAACCCCAGGTGGGACCCCAGTGGGTGTGAGTGCCCAGTGCCCCCTGGGGCCCCAGCACCTTCTCGGTCTCTCGGCTGCACTTGATGATGAAGATATTGGCATAGATGTCCTCCACGCACATCCAGTTGGACAGGGACAGCGTGGTGTCCGTCCACACCCAGTCCATCACCGCCCGCAGCTCCACCAGGAATGGCACCAGCCGGAACCTGCCCGAGGCAGGGGCACCATCAGGAGGGCCGGAGGGAGGACAGCCCTCCCCCGCCCAGCACCCCAGGCTGGCCACACTCACCCCTGGAAGAGGAAGAGGTTGAGGTGGTTGTACTTCTTGGTGAGAAAGTTGCCAAGGATGCGGGTGGGGTAGCCGCAGCGGATTTGGTAGGCGGACAAAGCGAAGTAGATGCATTTCACAAAGTACCACAGCTGGGCCACCGCGTTCTGGCTGAACATCCTGGACGGGACCGGGAGGCCAGGTCAGAGGTCAGGGTGCCCCACCCCCCAACCCTGCCTCCACCAGGCACCACAAAGCCTGTGTCCGGGCGGGGCCTGAACCCTGGCACGCACCGCTCGGTGACGGCGGGCAGGATGAAGAACATCCAGAGGTGGACGGCCAGCACCAGGACGACCTGGAAGGCCAGCTTGCCCAGCACAGTCTTGCGCAGGTAGAGGGCACGGTCGATGACCATGGTACTGAACTGGATCAGCAGCATGACCAGGAAAGCCTCGGGCACCTGGTCGTCTGACAGGGAGGATGTGATGTCCGTGGCTGCCGAGTGCTTCTGTGGCCGGGAGAGCAGAGGTTAGGGGTGCTGGGGAGGCCGTGGGGCCTGAGCTCACCAGGGCTGAGACCCAGCTCACCCCAAAGGCCCAGAATCCGAAAATGATGATGATGAAGTCGATGACGTCGGCCAGGAACATGAGGGCGTAGACGTCGGTAGCGGCCCGGTACTTCGTGTGCAGGATGTCCTGGAAGAAGCGCCGCACGGGCCAGTACATGCTCTGGGCCCTGCGGGCGGGTGGGCTCAGTCCAGGCCCTGCTCCTCCCTCCCACCCTCATCTGGGCGCTCCCAGCCGGGCACTCACAGGGACAGGCAGAAGCTCTGCAGCCGGACCCCCAGCACCCTCACTCTTTCCCGGGGGCGACTCCGCTTCTTCTCTCTCCGCAAGGCCGCTGCCCCCGCCGCCGCCACCGCCACTGCTGCCGCCTCCTCCTCGCCTTCTGTGGGGAACAGCTGCCGCTGACGATGGAGCCCGCATGGCACAGGTTGGCCCAGCTCAGGCTCCTGACCATCCCGAGAAAGCCTGAAGGGGCTGCCAGTGCAGCCAGCCCACTTTGTACAGACCAAACGAGAGCAGGGACCTCCCTAGGGTCACCAGCAGAGGGTGTGAGGGACGTGGGGTGTGAGCGGCTCCACCAGGTGGGCCCTCATACCAACGGCCTGTCCTCTGGCTTCTGTGCTCTCCTTCCTCCTCCTCCTGAAACGGAGGCTGATGCGCCTCTTGTCGCCGGGCTCTAGGGGCCCACCCTTCACTTCCGCCTGGCCGTTGTCCTCAGCAGGGGGCCTGGCGGCCCCTCCTGGCTCCTCTTGGGGTGTGGGCAGGGCTGGCTCCTCCTCAGCCCCCTTCTCCTTGGCACTGCCCCCGTCGTGCTCCTTGGACAGTGGGGGGTCCTCATGGTCCCAGAGGCCATAGCACTGTGGAGGGAGGCAGGCTGGTGAGGCTGGCACGGCCACGCAGGGCTGGCTGAGATGGCCAGGCCCCCCTTGGGCCCCACTGTGTCTGGCCTGCTTCCTGAAATGGCTGTGCGTGTGCACGTGTGTGTGTGTGTTCCCATGTGTCGACCTATGAGTGCAGGTGTGTGTGTGTAAGCACTCACCAGCAGCTGTGCACGGTGGAAGAAGAGCGCCATGAGCTGCAGCAGGTCATACTTGACGTAGCTGTCGCTCTTCTCCAGGCCCAGGATGCGCGGCGGGAAGTAGGGCTTGTTCTCATAGCGCCGCAGCACTGCGTGGCTGTTCCAGGGAAAGAAGCCAAACTGGAACAGGTACTTGGCGACCACAGTGACCTGCAGGGGAGAGAGGTCAGCGTGGTGCCTGCACCCACCCCCACCCGCACCCCTCCAGCGACGCCCACCTCGGTGAAGATGATGGCCGTCATCCAGAAGCGTTTGCTGGGCCGCGGGATGGAGAGCATGGCCCACAGGAAGACCAGCACGGGCAGCACGAGGGAGGTGGCTGAGGCAGTGACCATGTGGTTGAGGACAATGACGAAGTAGCACAGCAGCTCCGAGTGGGCAGCCACGCACTGGTACATGGCCTCCAGCAGCCGCAGCACCCGACCCCGCCCTGCCGCAAACTGCTCCGCCTCCTCCAGCTCCGGAATGTGCACGCACCTGCGGGGGACCAGGCTCAGGCCTGGTGCAGAGGCCTAGACGGCACCAGCACCTGCACAGGCTCGTAGCCTCGGAGGCCACCCGCTGTGCACCCCTCCCTGCTCACCTGTCCAGGAGCAGCTCGCTGGCCGTGCGCATTCGGCCGCGGCCGCCGGCGGGAAGCTCCCCAGAGCCGCGCAGAGAAGCCCCGGGCTCGGTGACCACCTCTTCGCTGCTGCTGCGGGTGTTGTAGCCGGTGCTCAGGGGGCTGCTGGCGTCCTCGGTCATGCTGCTCAGCGGCTCCTCCACCCCCAGCCCGCTGCGGGAAAGGGCAGCTCACAAGGCGGCCTGCGCTCTGCCGGGGCTCTGGGGCAGTCCTGGAGGGCCTCTGGGTCTCTGGTGGACAAGGGCCCAGCCGGCTACCGCCCCCTGTGCAGCAGCTCAGGCGCTGGGGCTGGACAGGCCGCGTGAGGTGGGTCCCCGCTGTCCTGAGCCGCCCACCCCCGCTCCTACCTCGATGCTGTGCTCAGCGCATCACGGGCCGCCTCAGCTTCGCTGGCGTACAGCTGGTCCACCACGTCCCGGCGCACCTCTCCGCCCTGCAGGGCAGCCAGGGGCTCAGGTCAACCGACTTGGGCAAAGGAGGGGGGGGAGGGGGCGTGACAGGTGTCTTGCAGGGGCGGGGCATGTGATTGTGGGCGGGGCGTCGGTGTAGGGGCGGACCCAGGGGCGTGGCACGGCGGGGCCGGGAAACCCGCTCACCCGGAGCAGCTCCTGTGTGAGCAGGTAGCGCTCAGCGCGCAGTACGTCGCTCATGGCGCGGTGGTGCCGCGTGAAGTCGTGCAACCAGCGCGTGAGCCCGTCCACCAGCGCCTGCCCCAGCACCCACAGGAACTGCACAGCGCTCAGCACTCGCTGCATCACATGGCTGCGGCCTGCGGCGAGGGTGGGGCAGGAGGGCGTAAAGGAGCGGTCAGTGGGTAACCCCCGCTCCCTGACCCCAGGTTTTGGCTCCAACTCACCGGTCACCTCGTCCTCCAAGCCCTCTGCCGGCCCTGCCTCCTGGCTTGGGTCGCCTCCTAGGCACAGGGGATCTGATCAGCGCTTTGCCTCCCCACCACCCCACAACCTGCCCACAGCCAGACTCACCTGTGCGCAGCTGCTCGGCCTGCTGCTGCCGCTGCTGCCGCAGCACAGTCTGCGCGTTGGTCACCCACGCCTGGTACGCCATCTGCAGGCAGGGCCCTGGGTTAGCACCCCGCCGCCCCTGCCATGGGATCCCATTTACCCACCTCTGCCTCCCATCCAGGAGCAGCCTGGGGTCAGGAGGCCAGAGTGGGGGCCATCAGATCCCCAGAGGGCTGTGGTGGGAAGACGGGGCTGGTGCATGAGTCCACCCAGCACGTCCTGGCTACCACTCAGCGCCAGTCCCCATGCTAAGAACAGGAGCCTAAAGGTGGACAGGAAGGGCGTGTCTAGCAAACAGTGAGCCTTCTCAAGAGGTCAGGGCCTGGAGAGGTGGGCAGAGGGGCACACAGCTGCCCATGACCTGTACCCCTAGATCCTGCCTTCCCCCCATATGTGAGTGCAGGAGGTCTGAATGGGCTGGGTAGGTGCCCCCGGCCTAGGGAGTGTCAGGCCCACATGCTCACCTGGAAGGCGCTCTGTGATGATGGCCTGGGGTCCTCAGGCTGGGCTTCCTCCTCCTCCTCACTGTCTGACTCGAACAGGAAGTAGTCCCCAGAGTGGATAACTGCGGGTAAGGGGGGCACTGAGAGCCAGCCACACTCCCTCCTCCCCCCAGACCCTCAACTTCATCTCCTTGGTTTGGGATGGATGCAGTAACAGTCTGGCTATTCTGGCCAGCTTGAGCCCCTCAGTAGCCCGTGACCCTGTGGCAAAGGCCTGCATGCCACCCTCCCGAGGGACAGCCATGGGCAAGAACCAGGGGGTGGCAGGCCGGGGGACAGCGGCACATGCACAGGACACAAGCAAGAGCAGGGGGACGAGACCAGACTGGACGAGAGGAACACAAGCGGGCAGGACTGGGAAGGAGGGACACTGCCAGCCAGCAGCCAAGATTCAGACTTCTGAGGCTAAGAGTTAGAAAGCAGAAGACACACAGAGCCTGTTGTGGAGACGTGGCCCCTGATGACCCAGAGGCTCAGTGTGAAGCCTGAGAGCAGGGCTCCCGGGAGGTGCCGGCCAGGTCAGTGCAGGGCAAGAGGGAGGTCTGCCTAGTCACAGCAGCCCTGAGAGGGTGGTCAGGAAAGGCTGGGTGGGGGCAGTACCTGTGGCGTGGTCCAGCCAGGGCCGCCACCACTGCTGTGGTGGCGGGGAGGCGCCCCCTGGACTGCTGGGCCCTGTGGAGGGGCAGGGTGCGCATGAGCCAGTGGGGAGAGGCGCAGGCGGCCCCTCAGAGGACACAGACTCGGAGCCCTTAGGCAATGAAGGGGCTACATGAAGTGCCACGGGGGGTGGAGGGCAGCCCACAAGTGCAGACGGATAGTCACAGTCGGGCCATGTGGCCTGCAGGGACAGAGTGACCACACAGCACAGGGCGGATGGGCCAGAAGCCCCGTGGGACGCCACACAGCACGGACACGGCTCCAGCGGGTGTGGACACATGGGATGTGGGCACTGAGGCTCTGTCCACACTCACCTGGCTCTTGGCCGGGGTCTGGGGAGCCCTGAAGGCGGCCTCGGTTGGCCCGGCCCTGCCTGTGCTTCTCCTGCTTGGCCCGGATCCGCTCCATCCTGCAGAAGGGGAGGTGGCTCAGCATTGGGCAAGTTAGGAAAGCCCTGGCCTTGCCCACACGGCACCTACTGTCTTTTCAGCTGGGCCAGTGACTTCTCCTCCGCCCTACGGTGGAGCTCGATGGTCTTGAGGTTGGCAGCATTGTAGAGGGCGAAGCCCCTGTAGGGCAGCAAGGCTGGGCATTAGCTACGGCCTGGCCCAGGGCGCTCAGTCCTACCCACCCACACCCACCTTGTCCTGCTATGGGGAGAGGGAGACCCTCTTAGAACCTCCAGTATCACAGGGTAGGAAAGAAGGAACAGGAGCAGCCAAAGCACAGGGCTAGGGAGGAAGGCCTTCCAGCGGGGATGTGCCCTCAGTCCAGCCAACAACCAAGAGGGGGGCGAGACCGCGCATCGCCAAGGTCCTGAGAAGGTCCCAGGGGGTCTGTCTCCTTGGTTCTCCCTCTAGGTGACAAGTCAAGTCACGGAGGGGCGGCACACCTGGAGGCCTGCAGGGCGGTGGCGCGGAGCTCGGCCTGAACGTGCAGGAAGTAGTAGCTGAGGAACACCCTGCGCTGCAGCAGCAGAAACAGGAAGCAGACGCTGTCCCACAGGACGCCCGCCTCCTCCACGGGCAGCAGGCAGTCCTGGTCGCGGCCCAGCATCTCCTTGGCTGCAGACGGATACGGTCCAGGTCAGGGTCCCGTAAGCTGGATGTCACAGAGCACCCCCGGGGCCCTGCCGCCCACTTCGCCCACTCACGGTCGTAGTAGCCCTTGACGGTGCATACGAGGCTGAAGAGCTGGATAACCCAGCAGAAGCTGCTCTGCATCTGCTCCACAAAGACGCAGGACAGGAGCTGTGGGCGGAGGAGTCAGTCTGGGTGTCAGGGTGGGGCAGAGCCAGGAGGGTGGGGCAGAGCCAGGGGGGTGGGGCAGGGCCAGGCGGGTGGGGCAGGGTGGGGCCAGGCTCACAGAGAGCATGTTCTTGGAGATGATGACAGTGACGTTGTAAAGGATGAGGCAGTCCCACAGCACGAGGCGGGCACGTGTGTCCTTCTGCTGCAGGCTGGTGCCGAAGAGCAGCAGGTAGAAGCAGGCCAGTAGGTAGCCCAGCCCAAAGACGCTGATGCGCGTGGCCCCTGTGATGAACACCACCACCAGCACCAGCCAGAAGAGGTAGCGGAAAACGGCCACCTTCAGCATGTCGAGGTAGGACCTGCCGGGTGGATGGCACCGTGGACCCAGGTCACCACCACCTCCCCGGCAGCCCAGGACCACGGCCCCAGGAGCCCCACAGCCTCTAAGACCCCCACCTGCAGTGGATGAAGTTGGGCACAGGGTTGGGCTCCCCCCGCAGCGGCTCCAGGCGGTCAGTATTGACACCGGCCATGTGCCGCCACTCCTCCGTGCGCTCGGCCGAGAACACCTGCCATTGCTGGGAGGCGCAGAGCAGCAGGAGGAAGTCACCTGTGGGCAAATGGGAGGCCACTGTCACGCCTGGAAAGTGCAGTCCACTTCCTGCCAGCTCGGCCCTTATCCTGGGGTGATGGGGTGTGTGGGCAGCTGAGCAGAAAATCCATGCGTATTTATGCCTGCATCTACACACCGTGTGGATGTGCATGTGGGTGTTGGAGAACATGCCTGCGTACATTTTCTGTGTGTACATGTAGATCTACACACACAAACCACACGCGTCAGGAAATGAGGCCAACATGAGCCTGACTATGCCATGTGGCATCAGTCTCCACACCCGTGTCCGCCTATGTCCACACCTGCATGCACACCTGTGCCCACACCAGGGAGCAGACGTGTCTGTGTGGTGGAACGTGTACACGTGAGATGTGCCTGTGGGATGGGGTACATTCACAGGACACAGACCCCACAGGGAATGGCAGGACTGGACTGCCTGGTGAGGCCTGGGCGATGGGTCCCTGGCTGGCTGGAGAGGAGGGTCGGTGCCCACCCACTGCCCATCCCATGGGCATCTGCACAGTCTCAGCATGGCTGGCAGTGGCGTGTGTGCGTGAGGGGCTGGTGACTCACTGATGAGGTTGGTGGCATTGGGGGCACTGAAGAAGTCAGGCAGGTACAGCCACTTGATGAGCGCGGAGTTCATGGGGACGGCCCGGCTCCAGCGCCATGGGTAGTCTGTAGACAGAGGTAGTCTGTCACCCACTGTCCCGACCCACCTCCAACCCCAGTAACCCCAGAAATCACTCATACACACTGTCTTGCACACAGGCCCAGGGAGCCCAGTTCTCATGGACATGCGCTCCAGGCACCCTGGGTGGGTGGGGGGATGTGGGTGGGGCACAGGGGTTGAGGGGAGTGGGGCAGGCCCCCTGCGTGTGGGCCATGGCCCAGGTAGACCCAAATGAGGCTTCACTGTGCACCTGTCAGAATGGCTGAAAGAAAATAGTGTGGATGCCCAGTACCAGAGCAGAAGGGAACTGGCAGGACCACCTGGGGTGATCACCCCAGAGAAACAGAAACCATGGCCCCACAGACACCTGCACACTGGCGAACGAGCAAACCTCTATAGCACCTAATCCCCGACATCTCAGACCTGGAGATGGCCTGATGCCATCCAAGGGTGAAAGGTCAAGCCCACTCTGGCGCATCCAAAGCATGGAACTGCCTACTAGGGGTCGCAAGCCAAGCGGCATCTAGCCCACAGCCCAGTGCACCTTGACCCTGAACAGTGTCTCATGAGAGAAGCCAGAGCCCGAGGTTAAACCATCCTACTCACACGCTGTTCTAGAAACAGCAAACCACAGGGACAAAGACCACGGTGGTCACTGGAAGCAGGGTGGGGGGCTGATGGCAAGAGGAGGTGGGAGGCAGGTACCTGGGGGGCATACAGAGCTCCTGCCCTGGTCAGCACCAAAGGATGAATTTTACTACATTACAGGCTGCTGGGGGAGCCCAGGACAGAGCACAGGCTGACAAGGGGTCTAACCTGACAAGGTGTGCATGACACACCTTGGGGGGGGGGGGGAAGGAGAATGGAGCCACCCTGAGTAACTTCAGAAACGGTGTCTTAACTAAAGACTGTCCAGCGAGAGGGTGCTGGAGCAGCGACACTCATAGCAGCAACACAGCCATGGCCCTTGTCTTGGTTTCTGAGTTTCACTCTCCAGTGAAAGGAACCAGGCTCCATGAGGCAGGGGCCACTTTCCTGGGGCGGGGGAGCAGGGGGTCTCTTGTGGTGGCAGCACCTCGTAGAACCAAGTGAGGACATGTCCCAGGGCCGTGCAGGGACTGTGTGAACTCAAAGCCCCAGTGACAGGCAGGAGCAGAAGCCCAGGAATGAAGGCCCAGAATCTGTTTGGACAGGGAAACAGCTGGACAGACCAGCAGGGTGAGAGGACAGCTCTCTTAGAGAAGATGCCAACTGAGCATCACAGGGGACAAAGAAAACCAGACAGTCCTGTGGATGGATCCCCTGAGTGGGTGAGGGTTTACATGGAAACGAGACCCTCGCCAGGTCCCAAGGTCTCTTCCACAACCACACACATGACAGTGACAAGCAGTGTCAGGCCCGGTGGTGGAAGGCCGCCACCTGTGATGGGATACACTGGCCCCAATGTGACGCCCTGAGACGGACTATTCGCAGCTGCACATTTCTTGCCAAAGACGCATAAACTCGTCTAATGAAAACTGACGGTGCAGCGTGGAGAGTTTCTAGAAACAACTGCTTCGTGCTCCGGAAGCCTCAATATGACAAGAGACAGAGAAGCCCAAGAAGACCGTGGGGCCAGCTCGAGGGGTCTTCTCAGAGGCCTAGGACAGAGAGCTAGGGGGAGGGGCCATCAGGGCTGGCCATGGCAGCCTGTGGCTCTGCCCGGTGTCGGGGCCCTGCACTCTTCTGGTTCTTAACTTGGGTCGCCGTGCCAGGTGGAGTCAGAGGCTGACGCTCACATCAGGGAAACTAAGTGAAGGATGTTTACAAACTCCGTTGTGCTTCTGCTGTTCTCTGTCAAAACTCAGACTGTCAACCAAAAGGGGCATTTCACGAGCCAGGGATCTGCCTTCCACAGACACTGAGGGAGGAAGGGCCTGCCTGGGGGCTCCACGGGCACCGCTGAGATGCTCCAAATGTGAAAGGAAGCACAGGACATTACAAGGCATCCAGAGAAACCCCTGTACTAACAGGAGGGAGAGAAACCCAAGCTCCTCTCACAGAGAAGCCACTTAACAAGTACGCCAGGAGTAACCGAAGTCGGAACCGACCTCCACTGCATGCAGGCCTGCCTGCAGCAGGGAGAGTCTGCAGGTGTGGACGTGCACACACAAGACCGAGCACCAGCCTCTCAGCATGCAGGGCTGATGGCTGCTCACTCCCCCGGTGGGGGCTGTTCCTGCCCACATGTTCACCAGTGCCTAAGCCTGGGGCAGAGTCCACAAATCCAAGATCAGGGCTTTCTGCCAGCCTGTGGCCTGACTCCAGAAAGGTCATAACAGGAAGGCAATAGAAGGAGATGGCCAAGTGCTCCTGTCAGGTCCTGCTCAGAGCCAGCAGCTACCAGGGACGCAGCCTTGAAGATGCGGCCGCTGAGCTTGGATGGCACACCAGACCAAGGTGTCATCCAGGGATGGGCAGCCGTTTGTGGTCACCGCCCTGCGCATAGAGGCCTCCACCCTGGGCATACTGGACGTGAACTCCAGACAGCCCCCACTAGCCAAGAGGAGTGCAGGGCTGCTCCCTGGACTGTTTTCCAAACTCTTAACCTCTCTGATGATTTGAAACTTTTCAAAATAAAATGTTTGGCAAAAAGAAAACAATGATTCAGGGAGACCAATGAACGAAGGGCCAGCACTGCCCCCTAGAGCTGGAATGACTGCAGCCCACAGAGCCCATGGAGGGGGAGGGGGTGCAGGTGGAAGGCGCCTGACACCACACCAGGGGCAGGGCACCCAGCGTGTGCCCGGCCGGCGGCCCACTCACCAATGCACAAGGCTGGGGGGACACCCAGGCACAGCAGGTACTGGTACAGCAGGAAGAGCGCCAGGAACAGACAGTAATTGGGCCAGAGGCGGGCGATGGCCTCCCGGCGTCGGCGGGTAAGGATGGCCACCAGCCAGCAGCCATGCAGGATGACCATGAAGTTCATGCGCTGCCCGATCACGTTCACGGCCGCCAGAAAGCAGACCTGGGGGTGGCAGAGCGGAAAGGAGTGGCCAGGGTGAGGACACAGTGAGCCAGTGGCAGTGGGGGGGGGGGGGTCCTCCTGGCTCTGCCTCTGGGCAGCCTTGGTGGGCAGAGGGTGTTGTGCCCAGGACAGGGGCAGCAGCCCAGGCCACTCTCCTGGAGGAGCAGAGAGGCTAAACATGTCTCCATGCTGGGGAAATCGAGGTGGGGGTCCTGCAGCAGAGTTGAGCCCAAGCCTGAGCCCACCTCCAGCTGGGGCTCCCAGCCCCCATGGTCTGCACGCCCCACCCCCCCATCCCCTCAAGCCTTTGCTTAGCAAAGGCCCCACAGACGGTGGCAAGGACCCATGTGGCTGAGCCCCTACCCGGGGAAGGGACAAGGGTTGACCCCCGCCTCACCTCCAGCCCAAATTTGTAGAAGAAGAAATTCACGTAGTACTTGAGGCAGCTGGGCAGGTCACAGTCCAGCCGCTGGCGGGTGCCCTCGGCGCAGACGGCCTGGGCAGGCAGCGGGGCCAGCTGGTGCCGGCGGCGGTGGTAGTCCTGGCTCCGGTACACCATGGCCTCGAACACCAGCAGCAGCAGGATCTGCAGGTGGTTCTGAGGGGCGAGGGTGGTCAGGCCTCACCCGCCCCGCAGTGCCCCTACCCGGCCCACCTGCCTGCTGCACTCACCTGGATGTAGCCCAGGTTGGGAAAGCCCTTCCGCACTCCAAACCAGTTGGCGGGGTCGACAGGCCCGCGGTACAGCAAGGACTGGCGGATCTCTGTCTTCTGCAGGTTCGTACTGTTGGGGAAGGGCTGGGAGAGGAGCGGCGGACACTGCATGCTGACCCCTGGGATGGACCCCCACCCAGGCCCTCTGCACCTGCCCCTCCACTGTGGCGCGTACCTCCGTGCAGTTGCTGGCGTACTCGTGGGGGTTGACCACCTTGAGCTGGTACAGCATCTTGCACACGATGATGATGCAGGTCCACACAGTGGCCAGGCACGAGGCCATGGGCCGGAAGCGTGGGTAGGGCAGGGCGAAGGCCCAGAGCACAACTAGCAGGAAGTTCAGCACCGACACCTATGGGTGTTGGTGGCCGATCAGCACCCTCCCCACAGGCCCCTTGCCCCCCCCCCATAGCACCCAGGGGGCCCACGCGGATATGCGAGCATGTCCATACTCACCTCCTTCAGAGCCACCCACACGGTGTACAGGGCCACCAGCTTGAAGACATGCAGCTCCAGCAGGCGCCGCACCAGCACCTGCACGCGGGTGATGACGTCCGAGAAGCCAGTGGCCAGGTCCAGCAGGCGCTCGGCCACCAGGCCCCACTTGCTGGCTGGGGGGGTTGGAGGGATGGACAGTGAGGAGGAGGGGCCCGGGCCATCCTGTCCCGTGCAGATGGGGCTCCAGGACTCAAGTTCAGACACCTTGAACTTACCCTCTGGGACCTGCGTGGACTGGTGGGGGCTGGCTGTGCCCAACCCCTCGTCCCTAGGCATCTCCTCCTCTTCCTCCTGCTGCAGCAGGGGGGTCCGGCTCACCGCGTCCTGCCTAGGACAGGGCCCCGGAGTGTCCTTCCCACCCGCACTCCTGGGGTGGCCCTGTAGCCCCTTCCTCTCTTGCCTCCCCCACCCCAGCTCTGGGACCCCGGCTGTGGGTGCTGCAGCCACCAGGTGGGAGCATGGGGCCTGCTGACCTCCTGACCCCTGTGACCCCAGTGGGGCACCTAAAGGTGACGGCTGAGGCCCTACCCCTATTCTGGGTCTCCTGCCCAATGCCACCAGCCTCTGCAGACCCCCAGCCCCAGAGGGCAGGCCTACCCAGGAACCCAGCGTGGGATGCAGGCACCGGGCAGCGGCCAGTGCTCAGGGTCGGTGAGCTGCATGAAGGGCCGGTGGAAGTAGTGCAGCTGCAGGATGCAGGCGAGCAGAAAGAAGCCGGGGACCAGGATGCTAGAGAAGAGCTCAGACACGCTGAACTGCTCCAGGCCCAGGTCCCCCAGCCTGGGTGGGGAGGCGAAGTAGGAGTCAGCACAGTTGCATGACCCCCACAGTGGCGTCCCACACCCTCCACCCCCGCCCAGCCCCGCCCCAGACTCACTGCTCATCGGTGAGGCCCGTCAGGTTGCGCCAGTAGGCCGGGAAGTCCTGGAACTGGAAGGTGTAGACGGCCACCAGCACCAGCATGGTGTAGGCCACTACCAGCCACCAGAACGCCTTGAGCAGCTTCCGCCACAGGCTGTAGTAGACCTACCGGCCAACGGGCATGGTGAGGCTGGCCGTGAGGCCCCAGCCCCCTGACTCCACGCTCCCCGATGCCCCTGCCCCCACCACTCTGCACCCTGTGTCCCCACACCTGGAAGAGGATGAGACAGAGCAGGAAGAGCAACATGTAGACGATCTTGTAGACCACCAGGCGGCCAGCAAAGCTGACCACGATGAACATGCCTGCACACACGTAGATCCAGTACTTGGCGTAGATGCCCCTGACCAGCTCCCCCAGGCTCCGCAGCAGCATCTGCGTCCGTGTGGGCTCTGCAGTGGGTGGGGCACAGTGTCAGGACCAGGCAGGTGGGCAAGGAGCTCCCCCCCAGTCACCCAGCCCTCCCACCCACTCACCTGTGGTGGCCACGGTGACCTCCGTCAACGCCACAGGGGCCCGCGCCCTCCTCAGCAGCTTCTCCTTCACAAACTGGCGCAGCAGGAGCCAGAAGGTCAGGGTGCACAGCAGCTGGGGAGAGGGGGGCGGCATCACCGAGGGGCCTAAGCAGGGGAGCCGGAGGCAAGACTGCAGCGGGAAGGTGTCCCCCCACCTGCCATCCTCCTCGCAGGCACGAGTTCACATACAAACGCACACACACTCCTACATGGCGGTTCCTACTCACACACGATCTTGTGTGCACACAGACCCACAGGTGAACACAGGCTCACATGTGTTTGCATGCTTGCATACCCGCAGACTCACATAGTGAGGTGTGACCCACAGCCCTCCCACGCGGCCAGCGGTGGCATGGATGTCCAGGTGCAGTGACCGGTCTCACAAGGGGACACCATGAGGGCACAGAAACTCACTGGGACCCGGGACCACATGCGGTGCTCACAGAGCCCGTCTCAGGACACAGGATGGTGCCCCTAGCCACATGAGGTCGTCACTCATTCACTCGACAAACACTAACTGAACAACTATGCTGGGCTTGGCCAGGGGGTCCTGGTGACAGCCAGACGCGGGCCCTGGGCTGCAGCATGCCCACCGCACTGGGAGCCAGGTGAGGGCCGGGAGGACTCACCATGGCGCCCAGGTCCAGGCAGGGGTAACGGGTGTGCTCCAGCCCCAGCTGGCGCAGGCTGACAGGGCCCAGGGCGGTGGGCAGCTCAGTCTGCAGGTCCATGGCCCACACGTAACGCAGGCAGCAGAGCGCCAGCCCATAGAGCAGAATGAAGGGCGAGCAGAGCATGGCCAGCTGGTGGCGGCTGCGAACCGTCCAGATGAGGCAGGCCCAGAGCAGCAGCACGAAGGTCAGCCAGCTGTGGTAGGTGATGCTCCACACCTGTGGGCCGGGGTGGAGCAGGGCAGCACGCATGCTCCCCAGGCTGATGGCGTGGGGGCCCCCGACAGGAAAGCAAACCCGCCCTGCCGGCCCACCCACCCACCACACAAACGTGCACACACACACAACCATGTGGCTGGTGGCTGGCCTGGACGGCTTGTGGCCCAGCAAGTAGGCCACAGTCCCATCCACTTCTGGTGACAAGGCACCAGGCCACTGGAACGCTGTGGGAGCCCGTGGGAAGGCCCAGCCCCAGCTGGTCCAGGCCAGCGCCCTTACCATCATGGCAATGAGGGCACACACGTAGCTCTGGTCCATGATGAGGTGACCCAGGCCGTGCAGCGGAGACGTCTCCTTTGGCTCAACCAGTCGGGGGCATGCTAGGGTGAGGGCAGGGGTCACAGGTGAAGCAGGACCCCCGCTGGGGAGGCTCCAACATCATTAGGCCAGAGCCCCTCACCCACACCTGACTCAGCCCCCAAGCGCAGACAGTGCTGGAGCCGCAGCCTGGGGTGGGGGCGGGGGGAGCCGTGCTCAGCACAGTCTCACAGGGGCTCTGGGGGCAGAAAAGGGCCCAGGCTCCTGTCTGACCCTGTCCCCAATGCATCGTGGAACCCTGGCCCATCCTCGCCCCCTTCCCGGCCTTGGTTTTCAAGACTCTAGAGGGATGGAGTGGACAAGATAGCCTCAGTCCCTCCAGCTCTGTGAGTGCCCACATCTCCCAAGGCCAGCAGCTTCATCCCCTGCTTTGTAAAATGGAAATTGAGGCTTAGGGCAAAAGAAAAGAAAGAAAAAGCACCCAGGAAAAACACCCAGACCTGCCCTGGGGACACAGAGCCAGCCCAAGACAGAGCAGCAAATAACTCTGGGACTGAGAGGCAGGCAGACAGGCATGGGAGATCCCTGCAAGGTCTTGGGTCCGTGAGAGAATGAGTAAGTAAGTGAAAGTCGCTCAGCTGTGTCCGACTCTTTTTGACCCCATGGACTATACAGTCCATGGAATTCTCCAGGCCAGAATACTGGAGAGGGTAGCCTTTCCCTTCTCCAGGGGATCTTCCCACCCCAGGGATTGAACCCAGGTCTCCCGCATTGCAGGTGGATTCTTTACCAGCTGAGCCAGGAAGGTCTGTGGGCAGTCCCAAAGAGGGGTGCAGCTAGAGAGGCTGACACAGAAAGGCCGCCAGGGGGCAGCACTGCATGGCTACATATACTTACAGGGCCGCTGCTGGACGGCGCTGTGGCCAGTGAGGTCGTGTACGATGCAGTTGTCCTCGGGGTCTGGTGTTGTGGGAGCAGGTATTGTGTGCTGTAGACAAGCCAAGCCCATGAGCGAAGCCCGTGGGCAGGGGGGGTGCCGGCCCCACCTCTCAGTCCCGACCCCTCACCTGGGCAGCCCCTTCCTCCTTGATGGCCACAACCCTGGCCTGACCCTGGGGCCACTGGTCCACCTCGGTCAACTCCACCTCCCGTGCATCATCGTCTCTGGCCGCCTCCTTCCTCTGTGGAGACCAGAGATGAGGCTCAGCCCCCTCGCCCTGGCTCAAGGGGGTGGGGGATGCAGGGCGCTGGCCTGGGTGCTCACCTGGTCCGCAGGCTGGCGGGCGTGGAGCTTCAGGAGCGAGGTCACCGTGTAGCAGAGCAGCAGCAGGATGCCGGGGCTCACATACACGGGCCAGTCATGGTCGGCATTGATGACCAGCATGTTGGGGCTGGAGCAATTGGTGGGGGCCACGAAATCCTTGAGACCAAACACCCTGCCCAGAGAAGGCGTGTCGGTGACTGTGGCGAGGGGTTCACGGGTGCCGGGTGGGCAGGGCTAGGGCAAGGGCAGGGAGGTGCCTGGGGTGAGCCCTCACCTGGCCCAGATGCTGGCAGGTGGGAGAGTGGTCTGGGCGAGAGGCGTCTGGTAGCAATAGAGGCAGATGAGATGGCCGGTGCCAAAGCAGCCCACCATGACGCAGAGTGTGTTGAAGCCCAAGGGGCTGATGGGAAAGTGACAGGCCCACCAGGTGCCAATGGCCAGGAAGAGCAGGAAGTAGACACTGGAGAAGGCTGAGGGGTGGGCGATGCCTGCAGGCCAGGCAAGGGCACACAGGGTCACTCCTGGTGGGGGTGGCTTGACCACCGTCTCGCCGGCCAGTGGGGAGTTTGGCTGCTGAGACCCCTCCTAGTGTGGTGGTCAGAGGTGGGGTCCCAGCCCCCTGCCCACTGGGTACCTGCCAGTGCGAGCAGCATGATGGCCAGCGTCCGCCCAGCTGCCACGAGCAGCCAGTGCGCTGTGATCCGGAACCGGGCAGCCAGCCGAGATCTCCGCGTGGGGGACAGTGCAGGGGCTTCCTGCAGCTCCCCCAGGGAGCCAGCGTCTGCTTCCTCACTGTCATCATCCTGCCGAAGTCATGGGAAGAGCAAAGGTCAGGTACGTGGTGGGGGGAGAGGAGGAGCCCACCCCATGGCCATCTCCCTGGCCCCCCTCCACACCCACTGCTGGCCCTCTGAGGTCACAGGGCCGCCAGCCTGTGTCCAGCAGTGCTGCCCTCCATGCCTGGTCTGCCCACCACCTTCCCACGGCCTCGCAGCCCTGGAGGCCTTCCTGGAGGTGGCCCACTGCGGCAGTGACACATTCCTGCCAAGGCCTGGCACTCAGATGACCCAGGTGCCCCTCAGGTGCAGCTTCCTTATCTCCCACCTGTGCCAGGGGCCCCGAGGACAGCCCAGCCCACAGGCTCATGCATCCGTGCCCCATGCCCCTGGCCTGAGAGCGCCCCAGTGGGGACACATGGCAGGGCCACAGGTGCCCCTCACTCTACAATCACAGAGCAGCTCCACACCCTACTCCTGGCCCACAGCACTTTCCTTATAAGAACAGCAATGGAGGCTTGGGGGTGGAAGGACTCAGGTCATACTGCCAGGGGAGACCGCGCCCAGGGGACAGTCTACTCTCATTCTGTTGCCTGTGGGCATTCTCTGCCCTCACTCTGCAGAGTGAGGTGGGCCTCCTGGGTGTCCCTGGCCAGCCCTTCTGGCCTCACCTGTCTGCAGGCATGGAGACCCACCAGGGCCTGTCTCCTTGGCCCTGCCTCACGGTTTCCCAGAACAGACTGTTTCCTGGAATCGGGGAGCCAGAAGGAGGCAGAAAGAACAGCCTCTGTGTTGGAAGCCCAGGCCCTGGGTCCCTACCTGTGACATGGGCGCTGGCCTGTGCCTCACCTGCCCTGGCCAAGGCGGCCCTTGGCATCCAGGCTGAGAGCATGGGGGAGCCAGGAGCCCTGGTCACACCCCAGCTCCACATTTCCCAGCTGGGCAGCCTCAGCAAGCCCCCTAACCTCTCTGAATCCATCTTCTGCCTGTCAAACGTAGGTGGGGAGCTGGGCAGGCCCCAGGGAGTGCTGCTGGGCCATGTCTGTTAGTGCGGAGGGGACAGGCCAGGGCAGGAGGCCCAGCCTTGTGGTCAGAGCAGTACCCAGGGTCCCCCTGTTATGTCCTGGAACGAGGGTGCGGGGTCAGCCCTGGAAGGCACTATAACCAGGCCTGAGCTCACTCCACCCACAGCCTGGCCCCAGCCCTGGGAAAGCTGCCGTGGAAAATGAGCGCTTCTGGGTGTGGGAAGAACAGAAGCAGCTGCTGGGCAAAAGGACAGGTGCTGGGGGCCGCTAGCAGCATCCAGCCTGCCTCGGCCAGTCCCCCAGGCCGCACCCCTCACCACAGCCCATCTGAAACGCAGGACAGGCATGGATACATGTTTGCCAAGTTGGGATGGGCGCATGTACGTGGATGCATGCGCTATGGCCCTGCCAGGTGGTGTCGTCCACAAGGGGCGCTGTGCCTGCTTCTGCCTCAGACCTTAAATGCTGGGTGCCTGTGATGCCTGTGATGCTCTGAGGTCTGAGGGGTGATGGGCAGCGTGGAGTGGGGGGCTGGCCCCTCCCTCTGCCCCAGGCATGGGGAACCAGCCAGCCCCTCCCCGGCGGAGCTGTTCCTGGAAGCCCTGGCTCTGCTAACGAGGAAACCAGAGGCTGCTCTGGCCCCTGTGCCCGCCAGTGCCACGCGCCATAGGGATGGAGGGAGCCAGCCAGTCAGGGGGCTGCCCCAGCCCCCACTCCACCCTCACAAGTACCTGGAAGAGCCGCTTGACCTCCAGGCCCCATCTCTTCTGTGAAATAGGGGTGCCAGCCTTGCCCCCCAGGACTCAACTGCCAGGTGGTGTCGTCCACAAGGGGCGCTGTGCCTGCTTCTGCCTCAGACCTTAAATGCTGGGTGCCTGTGATGCCTGTGATGCTCTGAGGTCCGAGGGGTGATGGGCAGCGTGGAGTGGGGGGCTGGCCCCTCCCTCTGCCCCAGGCATGGGGAACCAGCCAGCCCCTCCCCAGCGGAGCTGTTCCTGGAAGCCCTGGCTCTGCTAACGAGGAAACCAGAGGCTGTTCTGGCCCCTGTGCCCGCCAGTGCCACGCGCCATAGGGATAGAGGGAGCCAGCCAGTCAGGGGGCTGCCCCAGCCCCCACTCCACCCTCACAAGTACCTGGAAGAGCCGCTTGACCTCCAGGCCCCATCTCCTCTGTGAAATAGGGGTGCCAGCCTTGCCCCCCAGGACTCAGGGGATGGATAGTCAGTTGCAGGCTGAGCCCCACCCCAGCCCACAATGGGAAGCACCCCCTCTCTGGGGACTGAGGCCCTCATTTTCACAAGCATCAGCAGCCTGACCAGAGGACACTGGGGCTAAGGGTGTGAGCCTGTGTCCCCCACCGCCTCCTGGGCAGGGACTCTATATCACAGACCTTACCGAGCCCTGGAGACCAGGTCCTACTGGACAGAGGCTGAGGCCAAGTGTGGGACCCAAACGAGGCTCAAGACTTCAGCCCTCGTGCGGGAACAGGAGAGCTGAGCCTTCAACCAGAGGACACGGAGGGAAGACCCAGGGTGGGACCCAAAGGACTCTGATGCAGGGCCCTGCTCTAGGTCTCCAGCTACACAGCCTCTGCCCCATCCACAAGCCCACTGATGCCCTCGCTGTGGGTGGGGCTCCTCAAAGATCCGTCTGTCAGTCCATCCATCAGTCCCCAGGTGCTCCTTGACGGCCAGCACACACGGCCTCCCAGCACCACTGATTCCCTGTGGCCTGCAGCCTCGAAGACCCTCCACAGGAGCAGCTCTTGGGGCAGATGCTGCCTGCAGCCCCCGCACGTGCTGAGACCATGTGCTGTGATGCCAGTGCCCCTTGAGACACGCACTTGACCTCTCCACTGGTGTCATGCCTCTCCACAGTGGGCACATACAGGCTTTTACAACTAAAACGTCCACATTTGTTTAAGAAAAGAAAAGAAAGAAAGAGGATGTACAACGGTCCTCAAATGGCTGGAACCCAGGGTGCCCCACAGCCCTCACCGGCTCCTGGACGTGCTGGCTGCGCCGGGCTGTCCTCGTGAGGCGCCTGCAGACCCCAAGGCACAGGGACGAGACCACTAGGATGCCCAGGTCAGGGGCCACCAGGCGGATGGCATTGGGAATGTCCTTCAGGTCCAGCCTGTGGAGGGCAGGGAGAGCCCACAGTGGGCTTAGGGGGGCTGGGGCTGGTGGGGGCATCCCAGGAGCTGGAGACCCCCACCTCAGGCCCAGGAAATCCCCGAGGGAGACTGAGGACTCTCACCTCGTGACCCCAATATGCCGGGAGATGGTGTCCCAGGTGATGGTGTCCCAGGGGCTGCCTGTAGAGAGACGTGGGGGATCCAGGTCAGGCAGGTGGTCGTCAAGAAACCCCCTCCTTGTGGCCAAGAGGCCCTCCATCCCTCAAGCCACAGGTCCCCAGGTATTCAGGGATACTCGAGAATGCTGCCTATGCTGGTGGGGAAACTGAGGCCCAGCCAGGGAAAGTCTGATAGGTCAGAGGCCTGTTAGTTCTACCAGGCAGAATGGGGCTCACAGCCCAGCTGGGAGCTGTGTGTCTGTGGGGGGCTCTTAGGTCTGCTGGCCAAAGCCGACCGCTCCTTGGGAGGCAGGGGGGCCCACATGGGAAGCCTGGTCTCAGAGCCACCAGGACCAGAGGGCCCTCGAGGCACCTGACTTCCAGTCTCTAAGCTGAGGGAGACACATGATCTTCACAGAACGAAAATGGGAAACTGGGTAGGATATCCTGCCAGCCACAATCCAGGTGGGACATGGAGGTGGGAAACCCCTCTCTGAGCAGTGGAGATGGGAGTCCAGGGCTCCTTCATCTGCACACTGGGGTGCTGGAGTCAGTGGAGGTGGAAGGGCTGGGTGCCAGTTGGAGAAGAATCTCCACAGGGTGAAAGGGTACAGGACGGTGGGCAGGCAGCTCACCAGGTCTGCTGGCACCCCTGTCCCCCCAGCCTAGCCTCTATGCCTCCAAAGGCTCAGGAGGAAGATGTGAGCAGGTGGGGCCTGAGAAGACCAGGGCTGTCCGGTGAGCCAGACACCAGGCTCAGTTCAGTGCTGCCAGTGCTCAGCCCAGCCCCTGTCGCTGGGGCAGTTAACCTGGGCCCATTTGCACTGGATATAAACAATGGATAGACACTCAGAGGTAGAAAAAGCCTGGGTGAGGCAGGGTGGCCCTGAGGCTGGCTGACCTTTCCAAAGAGTGTGAGGCTCCCCAACCCTGCCCAGGCCCTCTGGTGGCTCAGGGAGACCACTGGCTCTCCCCAAGGCCTGCTGCCCTCGAGCATCCCCCCCAGGCCCCCTAGTGACTCACAGCTTGGTGAGTCCAGAAGCTGGTCCAGGCGGGGCACAGTATGCAGGCATATCTGGAAGGTAAGGTGGGCAGCCAAGAAGAGGAGGCTGAAGCCCAGCAGGGCTCGGAGGAGGCGGCCAGTGTGACCTGCAGGCAGAGTGGGCAGGGGTAAGGCCAGCACACAGCTGGGTCTGCGGGGGTATGGGGAGGAGGAGACCAGTCAAGGCCAGTCAGCCCTGGCTGTCAGCCCCGAGCCAGGCTGTATCCACCAGCCTAGCATGGACCCAGGGTCTGTCAGCAGAGAACTCAGGCAGCACACCCCTCCTATACCATCCCACTGACCGCTCACAGCTGCCCCACGGTCCCAGACTATGACGACCTCACTTTACAAAGAAATGGGCACAGAGAGATGAAGCCACTTGCCCATAGTCATACAAAAAGGAATCAGGGGAGCACAGCACACCCAGCCTGCCAGCGCTTGAGTCTCGCCCCCTACTTGGGGCATGGGGCATGGGGGTAGAGCCAGCGCAAGAAGGAAAGGGGGCCACCCTCAGGTCTGGTCACGTATCCAGCAAACATATGTGTTGCTACTTGGCCCTGGCAGCATGGTGATGCGTCACCCCCCATGTGGGCTGAAAGCATGCACCATGCAGGGAAGACCCTGCCCAACATTCAACCACATGGCTTATCAAACCTACCCACAGAACAAAGCCTCAGATTCCTAGAGGCGACTGTATCCCAGGAATTCACATGATGGATGGAGGGAGGGGAAGATACACTGGATGGATGAGAGGATGTATCGCAGAAATGGATGGGAGATGGATAGATGGATGAATGAACAGATTAGAGAAGGGATGGATGGCAGAAGGTCAATGAGAGGACAGAGGATGGGAAGTTGGATAAATGGATGGGCAGCTGTGATTATAGACAGATGAATGGATTGGATGGATGAGAAGATGGATGGATGGGTAAATGAGGAACTGATGGGAGGATGGAGAGATGGATGAATGGGAAGAAGGATGGTGGGAACGATGGATGGATAGATAGGAGGACAAAGAGATTAATGGATGGGTATGGATGGATGGATGGATAGAAGGATAGAGAGGTGGTTGAATGGATGGAAGGATGGATCAATAGGTGGAGGATGGATATACAAGTGAATGGGTGGGTGGGAGGATGGGTGGATAAATGGAATGATGGATGGAGGATGAGAGGGTAGTGGGATGGCTGACAGCAGTGTTGGGCGAGGCCAGGGGGAAGCTCTAACTCCAGAGGGTGGAGGGCAGTCAGGCTGGTATGGGGCTCCTGAGAGGGTGGGGTGGTATGTGGGGGTCCTGGGCCACCCACTGCAGTAGCTGGAAGCCCTGCCTGCCTCTCCCCTTGATCTGGGGTCACTCATCTGGTCATGTGAGGCCTGCAGGGCACAGGGAGAGTGGTGAAGGGATGGAGCCCTGCCTCTGTGGGCAGGCAACCCCCACCTCTATTGTGCAGGGGAGCAGGTCACACAGAAGCGTTTCCTCCTGAAGGAGCCAGGGCTCCGCTCAGGCCAGAATCTCTGGAAAAGCAGGAAATGGGGCTGGGAGGCTGGGGCTTCTGGCGTGGAGGAGAGGGAACTTGGGGTGCAGAGAGCATCTGACCAGAATGGGCACTGGGGCTCAAGCCCCAAACCTTCCTGACCTAGCCACTCAGTCTCCAAATACTCCAAGACAGCCCCACTCCCACGACCCTGTTCTGGGGCAGCCTGGGACCCCTGTGGTTGTGGTGCCCACCCGGGCCCAGTTCTGACACCACGATGAGCTGCTGGTCGACCTCATCCTCCCAACATGAACTGGGTGAAGGGTGCCAAGGGAAGAGGAGTCCCCTACTCGTCCAAGGCCCTGTCACAGGGAGGATGGTCTGGAGGTGGGGGGCAGAGAGGGACAGGGCCAGGGGAGGTCAGAGCCTGAGCTCGAGGCCCTGGGAATCTGCTCTGCCATGCCTAGCATGTTGTCTGCCCACAGGCAGGAGGGCACAGCTCTTGGGAGGACGACAGAGCCTCTCATCCCCTCGTCCAATGAGCACAGGGTCCTCCTGGTGTGCCATTCTGTGACATGAACGAGGCCTGCCTGCCAGGCCCTCCTGTCCATGGCCCCCAAGTCAGAGCAGAGCTCAGGACTCCAGGGCAGTCACCCTCTCCGGACAGCAGCTGCAGGGCCAGGTGTTACTTTAAGGCAGGGGCTGTCTCCTCAAGTTCCTGTTAATCAGGGCACGGGAGCTGACCCTCGGGACTCCCTGAAACTTATGCTGTGGCTGTGCCCTGCTGGGGCACGTAGCCCATGGTGCTGGCAACGTGACTGAGGAAGAGCTGGAACTTTCCTGAGGACGCACTGAACTGGGCACCTCTCTGCCCAGCACAGGGAGCTGGTGTTAAGCTGACACCCACATGAGGATAGAGCCAGGAATCAGCACCCACAGGGGACCCAGGCAGCCTCAGACCTTCCACCCAGAGCTGGCGCCAAGGCCCAGCTGCAACACTACTGTGACCCTGTGGCCAGGTGCTCAGGCATGGATGGGCCTCACATTTTCCTCTCTCCCACCCGGAAAAACCCAGCAGCTTCTCTGACCCTGAAGGGCCTCTGAGGCCGGACAGATGGACAGAGGAAGGTCAGGCAAGCACGTCTTCCCAGCACCCTGACCCTTCCCCACTCTGGACTCCTGCCCTGGCTGAGAGCCTGTGCTTCTCCCAGTGCCAATTAGAAGAAAGTGTTCCCCATCACTGCAGGGCATGAAATATGATGGAACAAACAGCTCAGAGCTGAGACCCTGGGAACAGGGTCCACAGAGGAGGGGGGGGGGGGCGCCTGGACTGCCTGCAGTCTCCCCAGGCTGGCCTGAGCTGGGGATTGGGGAAGGGCTGGGACAGCCAGCCATGGAGGGGTGTGGCCTGGGGTCCCCCGTGGCTCCCAACCCTACACCTGTGTGGGGCCCTGCACTCCACAGTCAGGCCACCTCACCCCCACCCCCCATACCAGTGCCCATGGGAGCAGAGAGCTTGACCTGGGGGTTCCCACCAGAGACCACAGGCTGGGGAGGGGGACCTGTCACCCTGTGGGAGGCAGGATGACACCCCTCCAGGAGAATCCACACCCCAATCCTGGGACCCTGTGAACATTTCCTGATGCAGCAAAGGGGAACCAGGAGAGTCAAGCAGCTAATCTTAAACAGGGGCTGCTCCTGGCCACCCCCACCCAGGGCAGGCCCAGTTTCACTCCAGGGTCCCAACCGTGAAGAGGGGGCAGGAGGGCCCAGAGCGACCGGGGGTGATGATCAACTGTCCATTGCTAACCTGGATGATGGGGAAGGGGCACTGAGCTGAGGAGCTGGAAACAGGAACCAGATTCTCCCCAGATCCCTCAGGAGGGACCAGCCCGGTATTTACCCCAAGAAGCCCATGCTGGACTCTGACCCCCAGACTGGGAGCAGGGACCTGCGGGTGGCTGCTCGGTGTGAAGTGGTCTCTGCAGCCAAAGGACACACCTGAGGTCCCGGGCAGCCAGTCTGCTGCCAGCACCTCCCAGGAGCAGCAGGCATGGGCCTGGCTCCCTACAGCAGTCTTGGCAATCCCCTGGACCACCAGGCTATTCTTCCATAACCTCTGTCAGGAATGGGGTGGGGGTCACACCACTGACAAACTGCTCCCTGGGAACCCTCTTTTAAGCCTGGGCCTCTCTCTTCACTCTGGGAAACCTAAGGGCCTCCCTGCCCACAGGGCACAGAGCCATCCGCTGCACCTGTCCTTACTGAAAAGCCAGGGCAAAAGCTGACCCAGAAGTACCCAGAGAGTGGCCGGTGGGACCCTGGCCTGAAGGGGCTCCTCAACCATGTGCCCACACTGTTGGCCTGCAGGTCTGTGTCCCCCTTCACAGGGACCTGTCCTGCTCCACAGGACAGGGGCCAGGGTGCCCTCCTACTCAGGGATCCTCTCCGCTCTCAACTCCTCTCAGACAAGCCAGTTCTCTGTGCCCCCCTGTGCAGACAGCCCTGGGGGCAAAGGCACCCTGACAGGTTTTCCCACCCATCTTGTCCGCCTAGTGGACTCAAAGGCCACGCTCTAGGAGCTCAGAACTAGGTGGGCACCACCAGGCCCCCAGCTACCCTGACAACAAGGTGGTCAGAGCAAAGCCACTGCCCCATAGACCTCCAAGCACACATGGATGGAGCCTGAGTCCACAGTGGGGCAGGGGCGCTGGTAAGGTGGCTGGACTTAAGGGTTGGCCAGAGCCACTCTGGGCAGACAGGCTGCAAGGTCAGCGCTGGAACCGGGTAGGGGTCAGGGGAGGGACCTGGCAGGAAGGTGGCTTAACCCATGGCCAGGGGAACATGGCATGGGCCCTGCAACAGGAGATCAGAACAGAGATCTGAAACAGCCAAGGGTCCACCATGAAAAATGAACCTGGGACCACTCATCCTTTACCAGTGGCTCTTCAACCACAGAGAACATAACCCCTGCCCGGTTCAGCCACGGCCCCAACTCTCCCCTGCCCCGGGCATCTGGAGAAAGAGCTCTGAGACCCCAGAATCCACACCCCACCCCCACCGAGCCCTGCCCACCCTTACCTCGGATGCTGTGCCGGGACGGGCCCGGGAACCAGGGCAGCAGCAGCAGGAACAGCAGGTAGACCAGGGAGAGCGCATTGACCCGGAACAAGCAGGCTGCAGAGGAGACGGGACAGTCATCAGGGCCACTCGGTGAGCGAGGACAGCCAGCCCCACACCCTGGCCACTACCCCGAGCCTCCCCGCCATGGGTGCGGCGCTTGTCACTTCAGGAGGCTGCCCACCTCCCTCCACGCGTGAGCAACCATGCTCAGTGCAGGACGGGTCACCTGCCCCGGGAGCCCCGAGTCTGACCTACGACGGGCTCTGTTTGCACCAAGCAGGGGGCTCTCGTGCTGCACGTGTCACAGGACTCGCCCTGCAGAGCCGCCCCCCACACCCCCTTCCCCCCTGCCCAGGGTCAACACTGAGGTCATGACAACCTCCCCACTTGTTTTCTCTCCTTTGTAAGACTTTATGTCTCCAGTCAACACACAGCACGGCTGATTTTGAGGTCTAGCTCTCTAAATCTCCTCCCTCCTGCCCAGCTTCCACTTCCTGGACATCCTTGTACACCCACTGGGGCCGTGGCCATGTCCCCCATCATATCTCCCAGGAGAACCACAGCACGCATCCCTTCAAGCCACGGCACGCATCCACAACTTACTCCTGGAAGCCTCCCCAAAGCCATCCTGACAGAGTGCAGCAGATGCTGGGATTGGAGAGGCTGGGGAAATGCCAAGTGTCCCAGCTCAGGGCTCATCACCCAGAAACCAGCCCTCTCAGCCTTTCCCAGGGGCCTGAGAGGAAGCTGGGCCAGGAAAGCCCAGCTAGCAGCCCAGAGGGTACTGGTAACCCTGAAAGCAGCCCCCGGCCTGGAGCCACCTCTGCCCATTCTGCTCCTCAATCCACTGGGCCCCGGTGACCTGGCCCTGCCCACCTCCTACCCCAGCCCAGGACAGAGTTGATGGCTGTGGGTGCCAGCACCCACCACAGACACAACCTCACCCCCAGACGGTCCAGCTTCATGGCCCTGTCATCGAGACTGAGCAGAGTGGCACAGGGGTAAACTCACCCCAAGAATGGCCTCCCAGGGGGTGCTATCCCACTTCCACTCTCAGCCCCTCAGGCCCCCAGGTGGGGACCATGAACCCAGCAAGAGCTGGACCTCTGCTTAACAGCCCTCTGGACGTCCTGGGCCAAGACAAGCTGACCTGAACCCAGCCACACCATCTCCCCAGAGCAGTCAGCAGGGCCAGGGGGGTGTTCAGCCCCCAAGCCCTCCAACCACCCCAGCAACAAGGTAACCTGGAGAACCATACGGGAAGAGCTGCAGCCCTGAACTCTGATCAGCAGTCCTCCTTTCTGGGCACCACCACGCTCTCCCACTCCACAGAGTGCCCTGACACTAAGCTGCCTCTTTCCATGAGGTCCACTAGCCATAGCGACCAGCTCAGTCAAAGTCTAAGGCTACTCACAATTACATATTTGCATAAAAAACAAACAAACAAAAAATCAATCTGATCTGGCCTGAGAAGACCAGGGAAAAGCATTTATGACAAAGGCTTCTAACACTCCGTTCTGTTTTCCAGGGCCGCACTTTTACCCTCTGGGCTCTGCCCCCTGCACCTACAGCACCAGCCAAATGATGTCCACCCATCTGACCAGGTAAATTTCCTCCTAAGGGTGCATCCACTCCTAAGGTGGTCTCTGTACTGAGGTGTTCCTGTTCTAATCCGCCAGGGACATCAGCGCTGGACAAGCACTCAAGCCCCTTTGACAGGTGTGCACAGGCCAGTGATAGGGAGGCTAACTCAGTGCAGCCCTGGGGAGCTCCTGGCTCTGATGCCGACCCTGAGCTGGAGGGATGGTGTTGGGGGAGATGGAGTCAGCGCTTCATGATGCGGGCTGCAGCCTGGAAGACGCAAGGTTCTGGAGGTGGTGGTGCCAGCTGCACAATGCTGAGAATGTAATTAAAGTCATTGAACTGTCCACTTGAAAATGGTTAAGCAGGGGACTTCCCTGGTGGTCCAGTGGTCAAGACTCCGCACTCCCAATGCAGGGCACAGGGGTTCCATCCCTGCTTGGGGAACTAAGACCCTGCATGCTGCACGGTGTGGTCAAATAACTAAATCAGTTAATTAAATGGTTAGGATGGTGAATTTCATTTTATGTGTATTTTACCAAAATAAAAGAATAAATGGTCCCAGAAATCAGTGAAGGATCTCAGACCAGAACCAGAAGGGCAGGGGCCGCCCCTCCTCTGCCACCAGTGGGGCCACAAGGCATGCGGGGCTGGGCCTCTGCCCCTTCCCCAGCCCAAGCAGAAGGAAAAGAATCTAGAAGCTCCTTCTGCAAAAAGCAGGAAATCAGAGATGAAGGGTCAGAAGGGAGGGCGTGGGAAGACAGGACGGACATGGTCACCCATGTGGGTGCTGCCGGGCACTGCCCCACCCTGGGATGGTTGCCAGGCACCAGAGTTCACATAGGGCCTGCCCTGGAGCGGGGGACAAGGACCCCTCAGTCATTCATTAATTAGACGCAGAGCTGTCGGCCCAGGGGGAGTCCTGTGTCCATGGGGATATGGCAGAGAGCTAGAGAAAGAGAGTGTCCTAGGTGGTGCTAGTGGTGAAGAACCCTCCTGCCAATGCAGGAGACGTAAGAGACATGGGTTCCATCCCTGATCAGAAAGATCCCCTGGAGGAGGGCATGGCAACCCACTCCAGTATTCTTGCCTGGAGAATCCCATGGACAGAGGTGCCTGGCCAATTCAGAGGGTTGCGAAGAGTCAGACACAACTGAAGTGACTTAACACGCATGGATGCACTGCCAACACAGATGAGGAAAGATTGGGGTGTCCGGGAGTACAGCCGGCTGCTGGCCCCACAGAGACGGGCTGAGAGATGGTGCCCCACCAGGAAACTGGCACCACAGGGAGTTGGTGCCTGGACAAGCCCTGGACTTGACCCAGGGGACGTGAGCTGGGAACGCAGCCCAGGGGTTGTGGACTCACTGGCCTCTAGCCCCAGCAGGGCAGCCCCGGGCCAGGATGAGATAGGCTGAGGTCACATTCCCAGACCACCTCCCCTTCCTGTTATCAGGGCCTGGGGTGAGAGGCTAGCAGAGCAAGAGTGACAGAGGGCTGGCCTGGACACAGGGACTAGAAGCAAACTGGCCTCTCGGGGGAAGCCAGGCTGGCTTCCGCATGCTCCCTTGTTCAAAGGAAAAATCAGGTGCCCAGGGGGAAGGGCATTCAGATGGGACACCGGGACTTGGGTACAGACTCCTGGCTGTATACCCGCCCTTGGAGTCACTGGTCTAAATGCCAAGGACATGGTCTCACTGTGACTCTACGACCAGGAGACTCAGGGCATCTGAGCAGGCTGCCTGGAGGAGGAGGCACTGCTTTTGGTCTTGAAGGCCAACTAAGACTCGGGAGGTTTGGGTCGGCCCCAGCTTCCACAGACAAGGAAGATGCTAAGCTGGGGAGGCGGTGGGGACATTCTGAGAAGGGGTACAGGCTGCTCTGCCCAGGCAGCTCCCACCTCCCCGTGAGAGCTTCGAGAGTTGCCGGTGGTGGCTGGTGACCTCATGGGGGAGATATGCCTTTTCCTGAGCAGGAACAATGGGGTGGGGGAGGGCTGTGCCCGCAGGGCTGTGCCGGCAGGAAAGGCCCCTGCAACCCCTCCCCACCGCTTAACCCTTCAGAGACCCCAGCATGTCTGCCAGCCCTGCAGGTGAGGCAAGTGAGGCCTGGGGGGAGAGACGGAGTCCTGGTCTCACTGATGCCTGGCCAGGAAGGGAGGCGGGGAGGCAGCATGGAGAGCACAGATACCTGGACACTGTGCGCAGAGCTGGACCCCCCAGCCTAGCCTGCAGGGAGCTGGGGTCCCTACTGGGGGCTGGACTTGAGAGACCGCAGGTCTCCCCGTGGTGCCATGACACAATCCCAAGTCTGACTTGCCCTCCCTCCCAGCTGAGAGACATGGACAGTGAGGCCCAATCCTTCCTGCTCCCACTCCAGCCCTGATTTCCCTGCCTGTAAAGTGGGTTGGGGCTACAGCTCAGCACACGCCCTCAGGGTCCTCATCATTATCCTCCAAGGGGTCTTTCAGCCCATCTGCAGGGGGGCCCAGGATGAATATGAGGCCTGAGCACACCACCTGACCGGTGGGACCTGCCCGCAGGCTGGCACGGGTGGGTGACCCTGGGGGCCAGCAGGGATGGCAGGAGGAGGCTCAGAGGTCATGCCAGACCTGAGTCAGCATCCAAGTTGGAAAGACAGAGGAACTGGGAGAGACCTTGGAGGCCAGCAGTGGGGGATGCACCACAGCCACCACCATGACTGTCCAGGCATTTCCTCTTCAGAGATAAGGAGACAGAGCGAGTCCCAGGTACAGGGGCTGATAGCACTCTCCACTGGGGAAATGGTGGCCCGGGGTGTAGAAGTGGGTGGGTGAGGGTCACTTCCAGGCCAGGCATTAGGACCTGCTGAACCAGCTCTGGAGGACAGCCAGCAGTGGACAGATGGGGCAGGAGGGCTGGGCCAGGACTGGCAGACCTGTGGGGTCAGCTGCGGACAGGGGACCCGGCCAGAAGGCCCGACGTGGGAAACCAGGGCCTGGGAAGAGCTCCCATATCCTCCACCAGGCTGGGGACACCAGGCCCCTTCCAGGGCGACCAGCACTGTGGCACACGGAAAAACATGGAGGAGGATGGGCGGGCGTGAGGCCCAGAGTCCGGGGTGGCTGCAGCTCCCTGGCCCTTCCTACTCTCCCCGCTGGGCTCCTGCTCGAGGTCAAGGGGAGAAGAGCTGTGGGCCTCTGCTTGGGGATCGCTTCTGGTGTGAGGCGGCTCAGGAGCACAGAGCCTACACCCCAGACCATGAAATTCTTCCTTGAGAAACGACTGGAGGAGACCCAGTCCTGCAGGAGACAGGCCGCTCCGGGCTGCTGTCTCCCCAGCCACGGGGTGGGGGTGGGGGTGGGGCTCAAAACCACCCCCTGAGGGGACAAAGCCAGAAGGGCAGCAGAGAGAACCAGCCAATCCCCGAGGCACCATGCAGGACAGAGGCCGCAGCCGGCAGCCACGCCCACCACCACTCCCTGTGTAAAACTT